TTTCAATTTTTTTGCTATAGAAACAGCAAAGAACCCTTTACTGAAAAAGAAAAAGTCATTCTTCGAGAAACAGCACAGAAAAATGAAGGTGTCAGATGGTATAAAATATAATCTCAACAAAGCAGACTATCAACAATCGTGCTCTTAATTTCTGTGTCTTGAACATATTGAACTGCTGCTTCAAGATTCTGTTTTCCATATTAACTTACGATTGAATTCTGTTGTAGTTATTGAATTCTATTCCAGCTGATTCTCAGTCTGTTGGATGTAATACATGGTTCAGTGGTATTTTAACTATTAGAGCTAGTCGATGTTTGTAATTTTGCTGTTTGCTGTACATTGCGCTATAAACTTTCGGACTGCGCTTGGCCGTAGAGAATTTTTGAATATGCTTCTGACATCTAGCAAGGAAGTTGGTAAAGTTCACCCAGACTGTATCGAAACAATCAATGGTTATGAAAAAGATTTTTAGCTGTTAGGATATTGGTCTCCCTTGCATTTCCATGAACGGCGCCATTATTGCACTCTGCTTTCATAGCATTTATGTCGCGTCGCCAATCTCTATGTCCGTATCATCGTCCAGGAGTGACTCGTTTTCCTTTAAGCATTGTGTATGGTTAAAACACCAGTATAGCGTGTAGTCATGTGGTTATGGGCTTATTCATTAAAGTGTACGCCGACGTCATAATAAAAGGAGGCGCTGTAAACGCAAGTGAATCAGTCGAATCTCTACAACAGATGCGTTCCTTTCGCTTATGTTGCGTCTGTCCATCTGGTTTATAACATGAAGAGGAGGATTGCCTATGCGCCTTTAACGCACCTTGAAAGACACGGTTTTCTTGCCATTTGTTCAAACACAGACCTCTAATCTGTCATGTAGTTATTTGATCATCTTCAATAATAACTGTCCATGCCCTATTCTCGCTGCATTTTCCAAAGTTTCGACCTGCCACTGTCCTACACCTTTTTTTGGTTTATGAAGTATGTCTAAACTTTCTTCGCATATTCTCAGCGTTTTTCAGGCGAATAGGGATCCGATTTATGGTAACATGAAGAGCGTTTATCGTCTTCCTCTAGGTCTCAAGCTTTAGAGTATCTTTCTTGTAATAATCAGTAAATATCGTAATTGTCGTTTTTTTTCTTTCGGAGGCGATGTAAATTTTCACATGAATCGTTTCAACATCTTCGTTTTCTGTAAACGACATTGATTGTATCTGCGTGTAAGAATCTATGCTTTTGCACCGGTAGCCAGACCACCCACAATCAGCCATCCTTGCAAACCTTTCCATTGAATGATAGAGATTGGAGAAAGATACGACGTATATTTGATATACGGGAAACACTCTTGGTATTAGTCATAAGCCATATCTTGCACTTGTTTTTCAAACTCTGTCTAGCTGGGCGGAATGTCAATATTCGCCATTTTCGCTAACAGTGATACGGCTAACCCAACCAGTTGCAAGAACAGATTCAAGTTAATTAGAGCTAAAACTAAATAAATAAATTACCACCTCTCAGAATAGGGTTAATCGCAACATTGCAATCACTTAGCAAGATAAAGAAATGTACATAGCAAAATTTGACTTTCGTCCTGTGTCATTCTTTCATCGATAACTTTTGAATCATTTCTGTTGTGCTATCACCTTGATCCATTTTAAATTGTTTTTTTTTCACCCCTGCTTGTTCACTTAGTTCAAATTCCAGTGTAGCAGAGAATTACTCTAACAAGAAATGACAATTTTGCTGAACACAAGCAGCGCTTCGATGAACCAACCGACACACGGGTAGCCATTTGTTAATGAACAGTGTCAGCAGCCAGATGCTTTAAGCCCGCTAGCTCGCAATGTGTGCTTTTTGATGCGTTCGTTTTGCGGCTGCAATTTCGCTTGACTCACTTGATAGCTGAATAAAACTTAGTACAAGGAATATATCGTGATCAATATCAACCTTCTTTACAATGTCGAGAACTTCATAATAGTTTAGCTTCTCTTGTCAATTAAACAGCTGGCAAATGCTCTAACATTGATCGATCCACTAAGTTTTTCGACCCCGGGGGTTGTAATCGGGTCTCAAATATGAACTCAAGTTGCAGTGCGATCGCACACATGCTGGTTCCGTATTAAACCGTTCAAACGATTAAAATATCGTTTAAAGTTCATTTTCAATTCATGTCAGCATTTGATTTTTCGCAAAACAGGCGCTTATTCTCAGACTGGCGATTGTTGCTTTGCCGAAAGGTAAACAGTTGAAATAATCGATTCTCCATTTTTCTATATGAATGTATAGTGAATCAACATCGTTTTGTGCAGTTTATGTCATTGCCGAAAGTATTTGGTTGCAAATATCTTTTACTGTTGTAGTACTAAAGCAATCAGTGACAATTATTAGCATCATTCTGTTTTTTCTGCCAATCCTGCCTTTAAAATAAATGGCTGTTGTTCAAGGAAAATCATGGTAATCAGAAACGATATAGACATCGGAATTAGCAGGAAATATCAGCACTTTCCCACCTGTAGAAAGAACAGTGATCGACGTTAACTACCTTAGTCGCTTCAGCAAGATGGAAGTTTAGAGATTTTTATCAGTTCGTGTGTTCTTTCCCGTTTTGCTTAACGGTTCCACTACTTTCTTTTTCGAACTATTCGAAACCGACTTACGCATAATGCACCAAGCGTTTAATAATATA